TGATAAGCGCTTGCGCAGGCAAGAAGGGGTTTCTACGGTTTCACCAGCCGAGGATTTCAAGGGCGCGAACTACTTCCTCCGGAATGAAGGCCGGGACTCTGGAGCTCTCCCCTGACCAGACGGGGCCTATGCTGTAAGGTCAAGTGGGCTGCAGCGGTTGAGGGTAAAACTTGCGGCGAGGGGGTCAGGGGCCACATGAATGGATTCAGGACAGTCGTGCTCTTCTTCCGAGCACGTTGCACTTGATTTCGATTCATGGTTCATGCTTTTATAATTTGAGTCATTGTATTGCGAAACTGCCATCATAAGCCTTCAGCCCAAGACCCCGCTGAAGTCATGTGTTTCTGTTGCAGCAGTCTGCACCTTTTTAGCAATCATGGTTGGCCTACTTCACCAACATCTGTGACAAAAACGTACTACAGGGGCTTAGGCTTAGACGCAGATTATTATTACCAATGCTATTATGGGGTTCAGTCTTATATTTTATGGTCCGCATAATATACCCGAAAACCCTATTCTACTGATGAAGGCCCCCATATTAAACCTGTATAATAACCCTTGTAGGACTCCGTAAAGGGACCCTATTCAAATGATTTAAAGAGGCCCTTGAATCACCTTGCGCCACTTTCGGCCTCGAGAACTTCATAGCGAGCTCCAAAGCGCTAGGTTGATGTAGGGGCCTAAAGAATTACCAATACCAATTTGGGGGTCCCTTATAATATACCCCGGAACCCTGTTCTAATTTTTAAGTCCCCTATAGTATGCCCCTTGAGCACTGGAAGAAGCAGCTGGAGCTGGGGTTCCGGATTTCCGGCACGTCTTGTTCAATTGAAGCATGGTGTCCAGCCTGCGCCCTGCGTTAGTTGGAGGTTCATGGGTAGTTATAAGTGGAGTTATAAGTCCCCTAATATGGGTTATAACTATAGTTACCCTACTTATATCCCCACATAACTACCCATGAACCTCCAAAGGCCCTGCAGTGCGACTGGCGGGCGGCAAGAGTAGACAGAAAAGTGCCCAGACCTGCAACTTGCTACTGGAAGCCAGGGGAGGGGGTCGCGGCCATTGACTGGCAGTGGACTGGCCCGGGCATAGGTGCGACGGAATCCGGGACTGAAGAAGTTTCTAGGGTCTCTTATAGGACTTATGGGTTAGATTTTGAAGGGCTCAGAAGGTCGTATCTAAGCTTGATTGGTTGTTTCGGGTTTGGGGCACTGAAACAGGCCATGGAAGGGTCGGGGAATACATCACGCGTCTCTTGCTATGAGGCTTCAGGATGAGGTTACACCGGATTTCGCCTTGGAGGGTTCGAAGCCGCAGTCGCTTCAAGATCCGTGGTCACGTGACTGTAGTGATGGTGTGGCTGGAAAACTATTCTAAAGCCTGTTAGAGTGCAACAGAGCTAGGGAGCTCTGCACTGCTGAACTTCTTCGGTTCTCCTTAGCTTGTGCTTCGCTTGAACTACCAGACACGCTCAGGAATTTAAGACGTCTGAAAAGGTGAGAGGAAAGTAAATTCAAACCGCGCCGAAGCTGAGCCCTCCGAGGACATGATCTACCTCTTTTGCGGCAGCGTAGAGGCCGTCCATGAAACACGTAATATAAGGGGCCAAAGTATATCAATACTATTTTGGGGGTTCCTTATTATAAGCACAGTATAATGGGCCCCGAAACCTTATTCTAAGTACTAAGGCCCCCATAGTAGCTGAATCGGTCGTCATCAGCATCAGGATCCTTCAGGGTTTGTTTTGATTCCGCGACTTTCTTCTAGTCACGCATGCATGGCTTAGATTCAGGGCTCTTGGTTTCAAGGACTCAGATTTTAGTTGTCGGATGTTTGAGGGTTTCCGTCACACGCCGACTGGTGCTGGATTGGGGTCTGCTTATGCACTAGCGCTAGCTGGGTCTCCGCTGTCCGTCAGTTGTGTGACGTTTTCTCATGCCCAGAACGCGTGTGCACGCACACTCAGACGATCGTTGCATGCCCACCTGCACCAACAATGCACAGACTATAAAAATTAGAATTTCAACGCAGGCACACAAGCATGCGCAAATCTGCACAACAGGCACGGACGCAGGGTGTGAGAACTTGCCATTTCGGTACAGCTTGCACTCATGCCGGAAGGGAGGCACGCAGATTCGCGAGACGAGCTCGTGTTCGAACGCGAGAAACAAAATCTTGAATCATACAGACACATGAGCTCTGTGCATATACACACATATTATATTATATATATATATATATACATATTATGTATGGATGGAGCTGTTCGGAACTTTGGAGTCGTGAATTGGCACATCACGTATCGCGAAGATCTCGTTGAGGGGTTCGCGGGCATCAACAGCATTAAGCCGTCTCCTGCAGCTGCCCACAAAATTGCCGATCGGGCCTAAACCCTAAACCCCCTATACCCTAAAGCCTAAACCCCCTAAACCCCCCAAACCCTAAACCCCCTAAACCCTAAACCCTGTAATGGAGTCCCAGGACAACCAGACTCCAAGGATGCTTGTCAAAGCAGGGTCCTCCGAACTCTTTTCCTCAAATTTGTCTGGCCTCGTGGGTCGCTTTGGCACTACACTACACGTCCTGCGCGGTGTCGTCTTTCCACCTCTGCTCCTGACGATTTCTGACAGGATGAGATTGTCGACAACTACAAGCAGCTAGTTCCAACAGCTGCAGCTTCCAAGCCTGCACACGTTTACGCGCGCCGACCCCAAAACCCTAACGTCTGCAAGTCCTGACCCTTGACAAAGATGGTCCCAATCTTAGCCTAAGGATGCTTTTTATCCACACAGTGCGGTGTCCACAGCCCTGCGACCCTTGATTGGCCCCGATCATCACTGGGGATTTAAACACCTCCAAAAACGGGGCACTTAGACTTGACTGAGAGCACACTGCAACTAGGCTTTATGTATGGTTTAGGGATCATGTGAATCATTACCATGACATATGTTACCGAATTCTGTCTGTGCTGATAGGGTTGGGGAATGTTGGGGAACGAACTTCGCTGAAGGAATGCAAAGTTTGCAATTCCAGAATACGCCGCTCCAGCAGCCGTTCAAACCTGAGGTATTGGCTCAAGCAGTACCACAACAGGCTTGGTGATGAATCGCATCTTTGGGCAGCAAGTTGTTGACCCTTCACCCATTTGCGCCCGACAGGCAGCAGCACGGTTACTCTACACCTACTCGCCTGCAGCATGAACCTCCCTTCCACAAGGATGATCAAGGTGCGTTCGAAAGCCACGCACGGAAGAGCCTGAATCCATCATACTGCGAAAAGCAGCAATCATTAACCTAATGTCTTGTGCATTCACCATATGGCTGAATGCCAACCGTGAGCAGACAAGGTATTCGTTCGACGATTTCTACATCGACTTCAAGGCGGCAACGCTGGACTATGCCCGCTGGGCCTTGCGGCAGAATTAGGTTCCAGCGCGACATGCGCCCCTGTGTGCTTGGCATGCTGTATTGCCAGCACAACGAACAGCGAAGCAACGATTTAACTTGGGTACTGCCCCCACTCAGTAACAGTTGGAGAATATTTGTATTATGGATATATTAGGCCCTTAATAATAGCCCTATTATAGACTGTTACTGTATGGGGGCAGTACCCAAGATTTAACATTGTCCTTGCTGGCATCATGGCCAGGAGCACAATGCAACTTGAGTGTTTAGCTGCTTAGCTTATCATGTACCACAGAAAGCAGAACTTGACCAGTAGTACGGTGAAGGAATTTGGCATTCAGTCTTGGTCGTCGACTTCGTAGTTGTAGCCGCGGCTGGCAGTCGCCGTCCTGGTGAGACTTCTTCTAATTACCACAACTACTGCTAGCGCTCTCCTGCTACACTGAATACAACGACTGCTAGCAGTAGCATTGGTTGTTTCCGTCCCAGCAGTTCTGAAAGCAAGGTGCCCGGCAGTAGTTATAAGTTATTCTAAGTGGTAGCAATACAAGTTTTACGGTTTCCTGAATAGCGATCGTAAGTTCCAGAACGGGCTGGATGGTATGTTCCGGTAATGGCATCGTCAACAGCTGCGAATGAATCCCTAGGAATTCGCCATCGGGCCCAAACCGAAGGTCCAGCATCTGACACATGCTCAGCCTTCCTGACATTGTGAAATCATTTGGGTGTCCAACTAGACTAGACCGCTTAGACCTTTTCCATCGGGTCTGCATGCCAGATGAATGCACGGAGCTCATGCAGTGTTACGACTGAACCCTAAACCTATGTCCAGTCTTGTCTGCCCTGTCTTGTGCGAGAGTGAAAGTCGAAAACCCTAAACTCAAACCCCAGACCGTCCAAGCAAAAGACATGACGTGAGATTGGCTCAAGTGGATGCCTGTAAATAGTCATGTCACCACTCAGAGGGTGATACTAAACCCCAAGAGCCTCCAGCCGGACTCCAACCAAAAGCTCCCCGAGAGTAATTCAAGGTCCCAAGAAAGTGCTTACAGCCCAAGCGGCTACCATACCTCGTTGAGCCATCCGTTTTCGCTAGCCGCTAGCCGTCATCTTACTTCCGAAAGCGTCGCATGGCAAGTTGCTCATGGATATTGGCCCAACCAAGGCACATCGGATCGGGACATGTGGGTCGGTGTTCAGGTGTTGCTAGGTCTGCAGCTCCACAACGATGATTTAGGCATGGGGTTGAGTCGTCGTGAAGCTTCTTCCATGCCCTAAAAGGACTGATGTCGGGAGGGAGCCGGGGCAACTTACGCGGCAGCGCCCATGTACAGTACCCGCCTTGACAGGAATCGTTGATCGAGTTGCTTTAACCCTATGACACGGCATTGTAGCCTACCGCAGTTGGGGAGTAAGTTTTGACAACCTAGAAGGCGTTGCTGTCGGTTGAAGTCAACACACACACACACACACACCCCTTCTTGCTTAAGGCTTCGAGAAGCTGCCGCTGAATTCCCCAAACGCCGGCTCAAGTTTGTTGGCCCAGTTTGGGGGGACCTTCGACACAAGCAGCTTGGAATCTAGAGGCTCAGCATGGCGACGGCAGCACCTCAAATCGAGTTCTCTTTCCATGACGGATCTGCAGTTCTGGTAAACAGGAACAGCTTTCTGGATGTGGAAATCGTTTCTCGTGGGAACCGTCGCTCCCAGAGCACTCCTCCGCACGCGAGGTACGAGCATGTTGTGGAGGCCGAGATTCTGGGCTTTGGAGTACCATACTTTAATATTTTTTTGGAACCTGTTCCTTAAAGGAACCATTATGAAATAAAAATCTATACTTTTTTCTCCCTGGTTACTTCAAAGCCCAGGATTAACCAATCCAAGCCATTCGCCCGCATGCTGAGTGGGAGCACCGTGAGTACTGACTATCGCGACTCTTGGGTGCCGGACCATGTATCGTTTGGCTTCATTTTCGCATACAGCTAGTCGTAATAAAGTGATAAGTATGATATAATGCGGTGCATCTTCAACAGTGTATTTGTTTCATGTCCCATCCTGCAAAGTCCAGTAGCCCATGGGACCGAGAAGTGCACCTTGTTTGTTGTAGCTCGGCATACACGCCATGTCTGTGTACACTCGCGAACTTTTGAAGTTAAGCTAGGTCGGGGTTCCTGCGCCATACTTTGTCCTCCTTTGCGGCGATTTTCGTGGCCCGCTTTTCCGACGATTACGGGTTTGCGTTTTGCTTTCAGGGGTCTAACATAGGGTTTGGCCAGGGACGACGAAATCAATAGAACCGTAAACCCTGCTGGCTCCGAACAACCCGAAACCCGAATACCTCAGACCGTGGGGTTTGGCAGCATACCCCTCAACACCCCCGGAGCCCTCAGCCCCGACTCACCTTAGGCCTCAGGCTCCAAAAACAAGAGAGTCTAAACCTTGAGACCTATCAACCAACAAGCAAGCCCTGTACACAAGGTCTAAATCTAAGCCACACCTGAAGCCCATGAAACCTACTTTTTGGAGTTAAACTATTCTGAACTCTTCGTATACAAGTCCTTAAGACGGTAGCTTGTCTGGGTTCCTACTACACCCTAAACACCACAATCCAAAAGTCCCAAACCCTACGCCCTAAACCCCGAAAGCCCAAACCCTAAACCCTCTCTTTCTTGCTAGATAGATAGATAGATAGATAGTTATAGATAGATAGATAGATAGATAGATATTTCTATATGTATATCCTGGTAACTCAGCAGCCAAGGACTGCGAGAGCCCGGTGGACTCGGAGTTCGAGCGCCAAACGACCCGGGACTCGCCATGCTCCGCGAACTCTGACCGGGACGACCTAGACTTGGAGGTAGGGGTTTAGGATGTATACGGTTCGTGGGGTTTAGGGTTTAGGGAGACTTGGAGGTAGGGTTTTAGGATTTATAGAGTTCGTTTATACCATTGGGGTTTAGGGTTTAGGGAGACAGTGGAAAGCCTGTTGCAAAAGGGAGACTTGGAGGTAGGGGTTTAGGGCTTAGCGCTTCGGATGCTGTAATAGGCGACAAGGGTTGACTTGGAGGTAGGGCTTGAGGTCGTATAAGGTTTGAGGGTTGGAGGGGTTACTGGGGCTTGGAGGTTTTTAGGGTCTTTAGGGTTTGGGGTTGACTTGGAGGTAGGGTTTTGGGGCTGAGGATCTTATAAGGGTTTCTGTGTACTTGTCATTCTGGGTTCCGACCCGAACATGGAGGACATGAATTAGGGCAATTAGTGCGTCGGGATTTGGAGCTTTAGGCTTTGAGCCAGACTGGGAGGACCTCCACACGGTCATGATCAAGAACATCCCATGCCGCTGCAGCGCAGAGGAGGTCTTGCGGGCTGTGGATTCCTTGGGTTTTGCTGGGACCTATGACTTCTTCTACCTCCCAATGAACCGGCGACACAAGCAGGGGATTGGCTACGGCTTCATCAACTTCATTGAGCTCGGGACCGCGGTGCGTTTTAAGGAGGCCATTTGGGGCTACCGTTTCCCAGGGCGAAGGAGCACCAAGCAGGTCGAGATTGCCGTTGCTCAGCTGCAGGGCCGTGCAGAGGTGGAAGCTTATTTCAGCTGCACGCAGGTGGTGCACACGCGCTACCGCCCACTCATGTGAGTGTGCTGAGAAGGCCTGACATGGCTAGCCATGCCAGCTATGTTCAGACCAGAGCGCCATCAATGATGCAGCGTGGTTTCAAGAGTGTTTCAAGTGTCGTTGGCAACCAGATTTGAAAATTTGAAATCTTCTCCCGTGCTCATAATAACGGTGCTCCCCCAGCGGTGCAAACACAAGCTTCACCTCAAGCTTCACCTCAGACCTCTAGCTACAAACGGCGGGCTTCAGGCCGCATGTGGATGCCAAGAAGGGCTTATGCCGCATGCAGATGCCGATGCCCGTATCACTTATGGCAACTAAAAGAACTCCAAGATTGAACAAAAAAACCCTTGTGCCAAATCCTCTGGGGGAGAAGAGTTCGAGATGCGAGACACTCGCAGTCCGGCGCAATTGCCTCATGAGTCAAGCACCGTCAACCGCAGAAAGCCCTCAGGTCCGTATGCACTAAGCGGCGTCGCACCTTTCAAGGCTCTCACGCGGAAGAGAGATGCGGGCGGAGCCCCATCTTTGTGCCGTTACGGCAGCTTGACCTGAGATGTGTGCCAGTTACGAGTTTCCTGGAATCCGCGGGAGCTCGACTCGAGAGCATCTAGGCCGTCATGGTGCTTACAAGAGCCGCTTCAACCCCCAAACCCAAGTGTGTTGGGGGCTTAGATTTTGGGGTTATAAGTGGAGTTATAAGTCCCTGAATATGGGTTGTAACCATAGTAAGTCACCCTACTTATAGCCCCACCTATAACTACCTATGAACCACCAGGTAAGGCACCATTATTCATTATTGACGCCACTCACTATAGAACGCCTTATAGGGAACCCTATTCTAATTCTACTCCCGTACCCCTTATAAATCCCTTGGAACCCTATTCTAATTCTACTCCCGTATCCCTTATAGATCCGCCTCAAGGAACCCTATTCTAATTCTACTCCGGGCACAGCGGAGTCCAGTGAGGCAGTTTCCGTCTCGGAGTATGCGAGGAGTGAATTCGTTTCTTGTCGTTGTGGCAACGAATGGCGCCGAGTTTTGGGGGTTTGTATACTGTTGCGCTATAGGCTGCAAACATTCAATCAGATCTCGAAATTTGCTGTCACAACTCCTTGCACGAGCAGGAACACTTGTTTCAGCTTGTGTGCAACGCACTGAATACGCATGCACATGAGAGAGTCGTGCAAGCTCCCATGTCCTTGGCAGAGGGTTCTTGCAACAGTCAAGCTGAGCTTGCATCCACGGGGCTTACTTTTTCTGTTGCTGGCCCGTCAAAATGAGCCGCTGCTGGGTCCAAATGGTATATATAGTGTAGGAACCTCATTAAGAACCCTAAACCCTAAACGCCTCAACCCTGTCAGCCTGAAGCCTAGTTGCTTAGTCTGATTGGACGCAGAGACCTCGTCTGGCGGAGTCCGAGTTGCGAGAGCGTAACCCCTAAGCCCTACGAAACCCTAAACTATTCGGATTCACATGAACAGCGGTTTCTTCATCAGGCTCCTACACTAAACGCTTTATAGAACCCTATAGTACCCTGATGGGACCCTTTCTAGGAAGCCTCAAAACTACCTAGAGTGTTCCACTCATGGGATACTGGGATACTCCTTGGATTCGACCTTGGCCCTGGCTTTCTCTCGGTGCTGTGGCTGGTACATAAAGGATCGGCTGCAGCGTTCCATGTGCCAAAGTACCGTAGCAGAAAAGTTTGAAGAGGGCTGACTGACATCTGCGAGGTCGGAAGCGGCGGCCAGCTTTTCGTGGAGCCTCGCAGATGTGCAGCACTCACACGTGCCAGCAAGTGAGGTGTTTGAATCCACAGGCGCTGGATGCAAACAACTTGCCAAAACAGCTGCTCGCAAGACTAATTAGTGGTCAGACCTTAAGAACATCTTCCTGTTTCAAAAGTACATCCCTGTGACTGCGGGCCATCACGGAGAAGATGCGCTGGTGGTCCCGGGTTCGTTGGAAGATCGCCCGCTGCTGCCTTTGCCTCTGCGGAACTGTATTTTTTTGCAGGAGCTTGAACTCCAAATTTGCTTCTCAGGCATTAGTGGAACACGGAGGCAGACGCCTGCAGGATTTTTGAAGGCTTGAGGTGAGTCTCAAGCACAGCTGCATGGCAGCTCTTATGCAAGAAAGCTGCATAACCCCCAGTGATTCGACGTTCCGCCCTCCAAGTCTTGCTGTCGCAAGCATCTTGGACAAGACCTCCAGGTCTTTTCGGCACATCTCATGTCTTGGGTGGCCAAGACGAGGTGAGCAAATGAAGGGATAAACCCGATCGGCCTTACACCCTCGAAATCTTCTACGATCCCCAACCTTCCGGTGATTGTGCTCGCCTTCCTGGCAGAAGAGCCTTGCCGACATTTGTCGCGGCTAGGCATTGCCCGGTTATGGCTTAGGGGGAGATGCGGTACAGGCGTCCATCTGCGAGTCTAGGGCTTTACGGCTTCAGGGTTTCGGCCTCACTTCAACATCTTAGATGGTTTCATGCAAGATACCCAGCTTTTCTGTTGAGGCGCCAAGTCACCTGCCCTCTCCCTGGCTGCATGTGATCCGACTCCGACTGATGCAAGGTCCACCATAGTGGCCGGCCAGCCAGGGGCAATTACGCTTTTCGTGGAAGTATACATGTCGTGTTTGTTCTCTTTCACTGTCATCTCCCTCTCTCTCTCTCTCTCGTCGTTCTGCAGGAAAACACTGTTGTGCATGTGCAGGTGTGCACATTCAAGTGTGCGTGCGTGTGTGTAAGCGGGTGCGCCAGTTCTGTTCCTGTACGCAGTTGTTTGCGTGTTTGTTTGTCTCTCTGTTTGTCTGTCTGTCAGCCTGCATGTATGGGTGGGTGGGTGGGTGGGTGGGCGAGCCAGGTATTAGGGTGGCCGGTGGGCGGGCGCACAGGCGGCGCGAGGGTGAGTGTGAGAATTGGGAAGGTGTGGGTGTGTGGCTCGGTGTGTCGATGTTTGTGCTTGTGTATGTGTGTGCGTGAATCACACCATAGGGGATTATTTGTATCATACATTATCTAATCTTACCCTATACTATATTATTATGTTACCTTATAACTAAAAACATGATGTTGCATTCCCGTTCAGTGTATGTTCCATTATGTTCGGTTCTATTCCATTCCATTGTGTTCGTTCAGATTATACACACATACATACATAGATACATTGTGCGTACCTGCGTGTTTTGGTACAGCACCTCGGTGTCTGTGTAAGACATATATGTGCTATATGTGTATGCGCTCTTCTCCCATCTGTGTAGTCATGCTGTTTGTAGATCTCGTCCTCCCAAGCGCATAAGCAGCGCCTTGAACCCTGGCTGGTGGCCTGGGGGCGATCTTCTCCCCAGGGAATCCCTGGGATCTTGTAAGGAAGTTCGCTTAAGGTTACCATAACACGGAAAGCACGGTAGCAACTAGTGTGTATCCGTACCACAGCAACTCAAATGAGCACCCCAAGGCTTTTCAGAGCCAGATTCCCTCCGCAGGGCCTTCAGCATCGGCCAAATACACCTCTCTGCAGCAGAGGTCAAAAAGTGTCGAGGTTTGTGGAGGTTGCTTAGCTATAGGGATCTTGTGTTAAGCACAGGGACGTCGTCGCGAGGTCCTTCTACTGCGGATACGTGTATTTAGGAATACCTACACTTGTGTTCGGTTCCTAACTTGTTTCAAAAGCTCCAGTCCCAAGAACTTCAGGGTTTGATGTTGCAGAGCTCAGGAGGCCATCCTGTTGTGTTCCTATTCTCTGCATGTGAGCTTTCTGCCATCCGAACCTAACCCTCAACAGCCTCTCAACGCGCCACAACACAACCGACACACTTGAAGCCTATGCGGTAAGCCATACACCTGTCTGAAGACATCTGAAAGAGTTATAGCATCGCTTCAAGTCAGCTGTACAGAATGAAAACAGTCTTCGGAGCATGTACATATAAGATCAGATGCACGTATCTATGTCTATATATATATATATACATGCATATGTATGTATGTATGTATGCATGTATGCATGTATGCATGTATGCATGTAGTTGTGTATGTATTTTTGTATGTATGTAAGTATGTATGTATGTATGTATGTATGTGTGTATGTATGTATACACACATA